TTATTTTGTCCGTGCGCGGAAAAATTGATAGCAGACAGAGAAAAAATCTATAGACGTCTGTTCGGCATGCATTGCTCCCACAGATATATATATGCATGCAATAGAAAAACACTTGTTATATGTATAAGACTTGCTATGAGTAATATTATTCATTTCCCCAGCAGGGACATGCAAATACAAATACAGGGATGAGGTATTCTGAAAGTTGTATTCTCACACTCTCACTCAATCTTCTCATAGTTCACGAGGCGGTTTTAAAGCTTAATTTTCAGTGTTTTATCTTAAGATGCTTATACATCTTTTCTTTTAACAAAATTTGTTTGTTACAATTAATGAGCGAGAGCATAACCGTAGCTTTATTGTGGGGGGGGGGGTGTACATTGATATATTCATGCATGTATATAAATCATAGGAACAATAGTGTACAAAAGACATCACTCATGCAGAATATATGAATATATAGTATGAATTTCGAGGTACCTATTGATTTTGCTGCATTCTGATTGGTCATACTCACTGTCTCTGACGTGATAGTCAGTGGTCATGCATATAGCCATTACTGATAGTCATTACTATAGCTTTTTGATGCTCTTTTTCAAATAAGAAATTTGAAGTAATTATAATGTTTTATGAAATTGTGTTGATTCTTTTTTGTAAACACTTCGAAATTTATACTAAAACAATTGTTCGCCTCTGGCTCGGTAATTACAAGCCTATATTCTTATATTATTGTTAAATACACACCCCCCAATTAAGCTTCTATCGTTACGACCCGGAGTGTGAGCGAGCTTTTTGCGTCCCTTGCTCCGAATGACCTGGAAAACTTTAGAATGTTCCAAAGCTTTGCCTTGGGGCTTTTGCAGTTTTACTCGGTTCCTCGGTTTTGTGGGACATTTATCACTATAATATCGCCTAAGGCATGTGCTTACGAATAAAAATGGCGTATGAATATTTCTGAACTTTTGGGGGAGGCTATAAGTATAAATACTCTGCTAGGTAAATACTCCGGTTATTCAAGCAGGAAGGCTTCCCATGCACGGAGCAAAAATATTAGTCCAATAGCAGCCATCAAAGTTGCTAAAAAATGACATTTTGACACCTTTTCACGAATCGGAAAAAAATTTACTTTACCGCATTACATGCCTATAAAATTTTCTCTTTCATGAAGGAGTATATATAGCTATATGTATGTATAGGCATTTTTAAACCCATTAGACTGAGATTCCCGGTGACTTTGCAGAACAAATAATTACTATAGTAGCTGGAAAGTTTTGAACCCGCAAAATAAATATCTAGCATAATGAAACGAAAACAGGTTGGCAGATTGTTTAAAGATTGGGAACAAGGCATTGTTTGACGTGAAAGTAGAAGGAAAGTAGCTGGAATTTTAAAAAACGCTCGGCCGAGATAAACAAAAGGTTGGTAAATATCTTCGTTTTTTATCGCTGTTCCATTACAAGTTCAGTTCGTTTTTAGCGAATTTATATAACCTTGAAAACTGCATGCGTTATACTCCTGACATGTGCTAAAATTCGTGTTATTCGTTAAAAGATCAGTTCGCTTTTATTAAAAAAATTAGTTTTAATGGTGATAGCTTTCAGTTAAATCTTTATTCATAAATTTTTTTAGCCGGAAATTCCATCCGGGTAAGATACTCTTAGTAATAGGCTGTACTGTTATTAGAATTAGTATGATTAAGTGCATGTTGTTTACATGAATGACGACCCGTACCCGTTGTAGGTGATATCCTACATCGCCATAGCCTACTATTTCTGTTAAATGGAACAAATATACGCGACAGAATAAATTAGTCATTTTTACTATTTCTATATACTGCGGCGATGAATAATGCCGGGGGGATTAGTAGTGCCCTATCTCAGTGTATAGCGGCGTTTCATGTTTTATTTTATAGTATTTAGGGCAAATACTATGTATGATTCAAGAGCGAAAGATCTATATACCCCTTCAATGCATTTTAATGTATAAATATAAAAAAGTTCTAAGGAATATTTTCCAAAAGTGCTTGAAAATGGCACCAAACAAGTCCCCGGTAGCTACAAAGGTAGAGCTGAAATCTATGAAGATTCCAAACTCTATATAAAGACTGGAACAATGTATAAACTTGTTATTTTTTCAATTTCAAAAATTTTAGATTAATAGCATATTCGCTTGTTTTTAACACAGTACATGGGAAACAAATACAAATACAAAATGCAATTCATTAACTTCTCTTTCCAGGATGAAAATTGTCGTACCTTTCTTTATTTTGCTACCGTTGGTTCGCAGCAATAAAACGCACGAATCATCCCAACAGATAGGTTAGTCAATCTTTTTTAAGTTTTTATCGTAAAACAAATTTTTAGAAGGCTTTCACTTTTTATTGAAATCGTATGCTGAAATTTATTTCAACAGGAGCGAAAAGGAACTATTGTGGAGAAGGATGCCCATCCTCATGTTCCCCAACGTGTACCTCAGATTGTTGTACCCCACTACTGATAGCACCTCCAGTTCCAATCTGCCCTGATCCCTGTCCACAGTCTTGCGCACCTGCGTGCACCCCAAGTTGTTGTGCTGGTCCGCCAGGTATGCCTGGCCCACCTGGGTGCCCTGGTGAACCCGGATGTCCGGGTCCTCTTGGCCCGCCTGGTCCACCTGGGTGCTTAGGTCCACCCGGTCAGCCAGGGTGTCCAGGATTGCCGGCACCACCAGCACCATGCGCACCAGTGTGCATTCACCACTGTATGAAAATATGTCCATTGCCATGCTGTAGCCCCCAACAACCTCCTTGTCCGTGTCCTGCACCACTGCCAGTATGCCATGCCTGCCCTCTACCGCCACCACAACCTCCTAACCCAGCATGCTGTCCCGTTATACAAACCCCCTGTCCATGTCCAGTCCCACCACAACCCGTATGCCAACCATCGTCTCCATGTCCTCCTCCCATACCCGCTCCACCTCCTGCAATCGCTTGCTGTGGATGAAAGTAAAATGGCAAAGTTCTTAAAGACGAATGAATGATAACATTGAACTACGCTTTTTAGAAATGCTAGTTCAAAATATACATGTGTTTAAACATGTGCATGTATTTATTTATTTATTTTAAGACAATCAAGGCAGTAACTTATGCAGTGGCGTAGCCAGCCTGACGATTTTGTCCCGCTATGTAAATTTCGAGTTATTACAATTATTCATGTCTTTAGAAATCGATTGTTTTCACAGTCAGTGAACACCAAAATATTAGCATAGCAGGACAGATCGACAGGCTGGCGACGCTACTGAACTTATGCTTGCAAGCTTCTTAAAATGTGCTTATCTCGATTTCCTAACAAAAGAGTGGAGAATAAGATTCAATTTGATGTGTACTTACTTTGTTGCCGGAGTGCGCCCGATAACGGCGAGTAATTACTAAACGAAAATTTTCCTGTTCCCATGCCCATAGTGCTCCGCAACCGATACGAGGCTGATATTTTGAAATCTTGAAACCTAAGCTCTTATAGACACCTCAGAAAAACGTCGGACTACACATCCAACCGACCAATACGCTAAATTGCCACTGGCCGTTTCACTTAAAATAAAATGAAATTGAATGAAACGTAGAATGTGTTGAAATAAATCTTCATATAACGCAACGATTGATATGAAATATGAATAAATCTTAGTCCTGAATTGCACTGGCTGCTTTCTTAGTGCTCAGATTGATTAGATGGTTCACTGATCTATATAAGAATTCAGTGAACTTCGGAAAGGATCGCAGATCATCGACGGGGACAGCAAACGGGCCGTGTTGAGATAAGGGATACGATAGGAACATGTTTGATCAAGCGGCACTTTTCACCTGCTTATCATATCTATTTGCATAATCTTACCATAAACACATACCAAAAATAGCCAATCACACGGCTGATATTCTTCCTGAACTTACTGAAGCGCAATGATTTCATTCCATGCTAATGTCAAACCGGTTCGGTTCGATCACGGATTATAAATTGGACAAATCAAGTGTGTAAAGTTCGACTAAAGGTAAGAATTCCAAATCCTATTGCACTGTAAGTTGATTCACAGTCTAGAAATTTTCTAGAAACAATCTAGAAAAACTGAGTTAAAACCTCGTTGATCGTTCGAGAGACTTTGAAGCTTTAGGTCTATCTGTTACGCCATGCATGTTTAAAATGCGTCGAAGCATTCAAGCGAATGACCGAATTGTTCTTTTATATATTTATTTCTCTGAGCTCGATAATGTGGGAAATTATCGGCAGATTTATGAAATTATACGATAGGTGAATATTCTTAAATAATGCTTACGTTGCAGTCGATAATATATCTGTCTTGGTGGAAAATCAAAAGATTCAAAGAAAATAACTATAGTTATGTTTTATAATAGGTGTAATATAATAGAACCTCCTATTTGTGTATGTGCCTTCCTCGAAATTCGAGTACACGATACAATACTAACAAGATAAAAATCAATAAATGTCCATGCATGCATGATTATAGTAATCATCTAGTAATCATTGATAGACTGTTTATATGAGCATGGTTACTCCAAATTCAACGAAGCGTGAGATGATTTTGGGGTATTGGCATAAGCCTTTTACGATAAACCAAGAAAGCACATGCTATTTTAATCCCGGCTAACATGTTCATGCAAACAGCCCCTTAGGCCCTTTTTTAGATAAAAAGTCGTCCAGTTCCATGCAAATTTTTACACCTTTATTATTTCTTGCAAGATTAGTTTAAATAACTTCTACCAAGTGAAACCGTGAAACAAATTCGTCCGGTCCGGTGTGAAAGTAGCCCGGTTCTCAATGCATGGGTGGAGTATTCAAACTCCAATATTTTCTAGTCCAATATATATCCAATAATACCAAGCATTTTGATAGTTAAGAAAACCCGCTCAGGTTCTGAATTAAGTTTTAAATTAAGAGTGTAGAGGTTTAATACAGATTTCATTCTTAACTTTTACTACCGATACATATTATGTTATTTTTTAGATTTTTCCTATGGATTCTAAAGTCCTCATTTTACTTGTTGCCACTATCATAGTGGTTGCGGAAGCCAGATGTAAGTGTAGAATAATAGTGCGGTGCGCATTAGGCCCGAATCAAAGTGACTAACAAAACTTATCCCAAATAACAAAGAATTATATTTATACGAAATAATGAGATCTGGCAATTTTTTGTAAGGACTTCGCGCTCGGTTATATTAACTATTGATTGAGGTTGGTGCAATTTTAAAGTTTCGGAATGCCACAAAAAACGTAGAACTGCATTTATTTAACAAAGCCAGTAAACCAGGCTTTTGCTCAAGGCCATAATCATACATTCTCAACTTCATCAGTAATTTTATTTTATTTTTAAATATTTCCAGATTACAAAAGAGAAGCCAACCCATGTGGGTATGGATGCCCTGCTTCGTGTGCACCGTCTTGTTCAAGTGTCTGTTGCTTACGACCTCCACCTCCACCCCCACCGCCACCACCGCCACCACCACCTCCCCCACCACCACCACCAGGACCACCTGGAATGGTAGGACATGATGGTCCACCAGGAATCCCAGGACCGATGGGCATGCGTGGACCACCGGGTGACCGTGGTCCAATAGGCCAACCAGGCCTCCCTGGACCTCCTGGCGAACCAGGCTTGCCTACCTTTGGCTAAACACGAACTGTAGCAGTGCAAACAATGTTTGTATTTAAATTCACTTTCGATAATTTCAAACGAAATAAAATATCCAGGAATGGTTGCGTGTATTTAGTTTAACGCTATATATACATAGATTTAGTAAAGAATTTCAACTCAAAGAATTTCGACTACCTACATTTAATTTACCGTGGTCAGCTTCCCTGTTGACTTTTTGTGATCTGCATGCGGATATTGATCAAATAACCGAAAACAATGACTATAAATGGAGTTGAACGAAAAATTCTTTAGTCATTGTTATCTCCCAATGAAACTGAATATATAAAGGAGAAAAAACATGCATGAATTAAGTTCTCAATTTAAATGCACGACCTTGATCGTTTAGTCTTAAACCTGATGCAGCCATTGATCTTTTGTCCTTGTTGCGTGATCTCCTTTGCTGGGGAAAGTTCAGAACAAGGATTGGCCATTGGCCATGCACAAAGAGATATTCATGATTTTCTCGAACGGTCTATGTGTCTAATACGGAATTGAACGAAACTGGATGAACAAGCATCATATCACGTGATAAATAAGTAAATAAAACACTGCACTAAAAGAAAGAGCTTAATGTATGTTAGAAGGATAAGGCAAACTGAAAGAGTCACCAAGAAGCAAACGAATACAACAAAGTTGGCGTGTTTGTTGGCAAGTTGCGATCACTGGGGTGTCGTTTGTTAACAATGTCCTAACTGTCATCATATAAACAAACATGCAATAATAATTATTATAAAGATGTTTTATACACAACTTTGATTGTCAATTTTAAAAAGATGTTAAAAATTTTGCTTAAATGAGCTACACATCGCATGACGCCGTATTTTACAAGTGTTATTCGTTTTGTGTTAAATTATGGGCGCTTTCCTTTATACGGTAAAAACAGTAAAGAACGGTCCTGTTGAATTTCAGTACTGCGTGACAGCTAGATCACTGCATGTATTTTAGAGTGTTTCCGCACGAGCACTGCATTCAAGTATATCGTTTTTTACATCTGTGATCTGTCCAGCACGGGAAATGCAGTTTCACTTTTATATTCTTAACACACTACTTTATTTCCATTCCGATTCAGGATGTGACCGGTTGATTCTAATGTCGTTGTGGGTTTTCATGTCGGGTATCGATATTGCATGCATGCATGTCCGTTATTCATATGCGATCATGGGGTTGCAATAATTTCGATATGTGATTAATTACATCCTCCCGGTTATTTTTTGAAACATTAAATCTGAAAAAATGTTGTTTATTTTGTTCATGTAAAACCTTGAACAGCGGTCTTCAAACAACGTTGCAAATTGACATAATTTTGTTGATAAATAGCAACTGCATGGCTATAGTAGTTATACTAAAATGCAGTAGGTCTGATTCTAAGTTCGTGTTACTAAATTTTACAATGCATTTTATTATATTTTATTAAATATATTAGATTAAATTGAATTAAAAATATATGATGTAAAAAATCTCGGTATATACAATTATATGACCGCAAACTCGATGCATACGTTAATCGTGGGAGCTGTGCGTGTTCTTATATACTACAATTGTGTTTCCAGATACTCCAATTGTTATATTAATGACATATTGTAGTTAATTTATGGCTTGTAAGTTTGGTTATATTATTAACATATTGTAGTAAATTACAGCTAGTGCAAACATTTATATAACTTATGATGCAGGGAGTTCTTATATGAGCTGATAAGATTGTAAGATAATGCACGCCTATATATGGCTATATATGGCGTCACTGCTCCTTTACCACCAAACGTACTAAGCTAATACTTTCGAACTATTTGCATTGAGGGGAATGTCGCTTTTAACTTCTACATTTCCCACTTTGTTTACCACCTTACAAAATATTGATGTTATTTTGTTTACATCTGTTAGAATCAGCTTTAATTAAATTGTGTGCTGGCAAATTAGCTAGGCTTTCAGCTTTAATCTCGTTAGGTTATTTTCAAACAAAAAAAATTGCACCTAACAAACGTGTTTCCTGACTACAAGTTCAAATTCAATCATCTAGTCACACCATTTTCCATCAGAGTGAAATTTTGTCCACATTTGTATGTAATATTTTACCAAAATAGCCTATTTAAGCGCCTATATCGATTCAAAAATGTCGCAGGTACCAACAATAACAAACCAGGCTATCACAATAAAGGTCACGGGTGGTTAACTTAGCCTTTGTCAAACTAACCTTTCGAATATAAGATTTTAATCATATCCGACAAATTTTTAACGAACTTTTACATTCACTTTAAAACTTTTCCGAGTAATTCTAATGAAAATTGAAGAAAGCACAAAAATGGCACCCATTTTCATTTTAACTGGTACAGTGGTTTTTAAACCAAGCGTAAAGCGGAGTACAAAAGAAGACTAACTGACTCGTTACAATAGATGAATTATGTCACCAGTCGATACCATGACCGTATAAAGCCTTATTGCCTTTATTGTTGGATATCAGTTGTACTCCGAAGAGCTTCGCTAAGGTATGTAGACATGACTAAGTACAAAATTCATATATTTGTAACTTGTTTCATATATAAATGTATGAGAATATAGCTTTATATTTTTGTATATTATTATATTTTCATGCCAGCTAGCTCATTGCCAGAGTATAATTATTGTGAGCCTGTCTAAATTAAAAAGCAATGACTAAGCTTTGACTATTTTTCGAGAAAGGATATGTGCGTTGATTGACTGAACTACGACGGCACAATCTAAGTAGATTTTTATCTTATGGATTTGCAACCGATACCCAAACTATTTTCTTTTATGAAACTCGAATCCATATACGAATCCATACATTTTTTCGCATTTTTTTAGTGCGATGGTCAATTTAGTTGAACTGAACATTTAGAAGTCAATTAAACAATATTTTGTTACATTTAGAAATACTTTGCTAGTAATACTATAGTTATATTAAGAATTTTTGTGTTTTCATATTTGTAGTTTTATAAAGATGAAACTTATTGTGAGTTGCCTGTTGGCCTTCGTGGCATATGCCTCAGCACACCCTCATAGATGTAAGTAAAAAATTAAACCTTTGCTTATGTGAAATTTACTTATACTATATGCTTTAAATTATCGGGAAATAATATGTTTTTCCAATCATAAAAGAGCATAATCTTTCGCTTGGTATCGTTTTTGAAAGACAATTTCGGCTTCGTGTGAATTTCAATCCAGACAATCCGGCTGTATCACCATTTGGATTTATACACTTTATTTTCACAAAAAGGATGAATACGTCCCTTCGAGATTGAATAGAAAAGTGTATACGTGTAAATAAGAGAAAATCAGATGTTTCAAATTAAAAATTAATGAAATTTTCATCAATACTAGTTTAAATAACTGGTAGTTGATTACAAAGCCTTGAAGACAAAACTAGGGAAATCGTCGTTCAATTTTGCCTTAGCTGTGCATAATATTCCAAAAGTATTTTCCTCCATGTAAAAAGATACCCAACTTACAGCCATTAATTTCGAAGCAAAAATTTAAAAAAGCGGAGAAATATTAGATTATACTGCTGGACCAGGAAACTTAAACGATGGAATACCGATTGGCATAATTATTCGTGTATCGTCTCAAATTTCAATAACACTAGGAATATGGAATTAATAGAATTTAGTTTATTGAAATAAAAAGAAAGGTTTTCATTATACCGTTATTATTGTAACTTTTGCGTTCATAATGATCTGATTAAATATTAATGACATACAGTTTATTGTTATATGAACTGGTAGCTGATTTCAACGTTGAAATTGGATACAAAATTTAACTTCCAAAATTGTCACGAGTGTGAAAATAATATTCTTTGAATTGGTCTTTAACTTAAGAGTATCCGTAACCAAAGCAAACTATTAATAAGCAACCAGTGCTTAACTAGTATCGTCCTAGTATCGTCAGTAACGCTTTCATTCGTTTCATTGTAGATACACGAGAAGCAAACCCATGTCCTCCTGGATGTCCGAGTTATTGTGCGCCATCTTGTGTAGTTTCGTGTTGTTCTCCTCCACCTCCACCCCACCCCCACCCCCACCACCACTTCCACCCCCACCACCCCCAGCTCTTCCAGGTCCACCAGGCCCATCAGGTAACCAAGGCCCACCAGGTCCAGTTGGGCCCGTCGGTCCCGTAGGAGAGGCAGGTCCCGGAGGACCTCCAGGCCCACCAGGTCCACCAGGCCCAGCCGGGGATCCTGCACCACCACCGCCTCCTCCACCACCATGCCCACCAGTCTGCGCTCACACCTGTGTCAGCTCTTGCCCGGGATGGTGTTGCCACGGACGCAAATAGGAAGGGAATATAAACGCTAGATGATTATTAGATGATGAACTCCCAAGCTAAAATTTGTTTGAATATGAAAATGCTATACATTGAAGAACCATGTGAATGGACCTATGTTAATTTTATAAACAAAGATTGTCATTCAATTTTCTGGATATAAATATATATTTACTTGTGAATGTCCGCTGTGTCTACTGAGTGAATGCTCATTGTTGCATGCTATACAAAAACTGAACTTAGAATAAAATTGTACTAGGCAATTATTTGATTATTAAATGTTGTGGTTTATGTGATATTGGTATCGACCTGTAAACAATTTTCATAAAGCCTGTTCGTTTTCTGTGTTGTCCTGGCGGTAAAAGTGTTTGTTTGTAGTTGGAAAACACGATCAAAATTGGAATGCAAATCCTTATGTCTAAAATACGACTTAGTTGACTTTAGAATGCTGGGGTGCTTGGGAACCGAACCTGCAGGCCCCATCAGTATCAGTCTAAGACTGTAAATAAAGAGTTTATATACACAGACCCGTATCCGTATGTGGTCTTAACGTGTAGGTCATATATTCCATACTTCCCAAAGTAAAGTTGTTTCTTATGTAGCAATTTCACCTCTGCAACTCAAGAGCAACTATTTAAAATGCCCCCCCGATTTGCACAAGACATGATTAAAACATAATTGAATAATTATAACAATTTCTAAGGTCTATTACTAAGAGTAGTCAATTCTTCGACTTGATAGCCAAAAAATGCATGCATGGCCAAGGAATTCTGGAATTAGATTACATATTTATATGCAAGACATAAAGGTAAACGCTGTTCGAATAACTTATAAAGTTAATCTGCACTGAGATTGGGCATTTTTAGTAGTTAACTATATCATTACCTGATATCAATTTTAAAAAACGTTACTTGCTTGACATTGAGATGAATATCACGTCTCCGCAAGCACGAATATAATATGTGATATATTTGTTTGTTGTTATTATAAAGCTAGGAGGTCTTTAAACAAACGAGTTTTCTCGCTTTGTGATTGAAAATGTTGGAGCCGCTTGAATGTCTGAAACCTCAATGTTAGACAATTACTAAAATAGCAACAGGCATTTCAATACCAGTTTAAGCTCATTTCGGTTCACATTTTTCATACAAAGAACGAGCCTGTCGCTTTACTTTTAACCGGTTTAGCCCGAGAATTCATTATTGAAGTGATATCCACGTTCAAAGCAATTGTTTTTACGGTATGTGACCAGTAAGTATCTACCTAATATGAACGAGTTTTGTGATCGGCTTTTTGTAACAATAGTGAATAGTGTTTATGATTCATTCTTTTAGAAATCAATTTCTATAGTTCTTTGTGTTTTGTTGTTATCATCAACCAATAGCAAAGCTTGTTCATATATAGATACGTGGTGACCCTATGTGACCGTGAATATAGAGACACTCCGTGTTCGTTATACCAACGCCAAGGTGTCAAACAATTTCACGCTATCAAGAAACATTTTTTTGTCACTTTAAAATTGTCAATGCATGAAAGTAGTTTGAAAATAGAAACTTAAGTGAAAAAAGGGATGAAATCTAAACTTGCGGTTTGCCGTTACGTTACCCTATAATTTCTGTATATGAACATGAAAGCACCCTCCCTTCTTTAAGCGCCTAGTGAGTAGGGCGGCCATGGGAACTGCTTGCTAAAAGTAGCTTATATAAGACCAATCAACGTGCGAAACAATTCATCTTTACTACTAGAAAATTATACCTTTTTTGTATACATGCATGCATTAATATCTACTATGCAAGAATATCTCATGATTATAGCTCGGAGTTGACCCGTATAATCGCTGCATATATTTAAAAATTTATCGGCGAGCAATCACATTTAGGCGTGCCAGCCCCATGTCAGATTATACTTTCAGCCATTAGTTTTTTATACTTAAAGAATATTAAATATCTTAGAACCATATATGCATCCACACCATGATATTAATGATATTTTTTATCATCATATTAACAAAGTTGATCTTTAAAGACTTTGTTTATAAACATGGTTGTTAATCAATTATCTTCTGACTATCAAACTTCTTTTTATATACGTATATTTAATGTATTTGCAGAATAACCTTGGTAATTTATAAGATATAGTGATAAAAATCTTTATAAATTCACCGCAGATCGTTGAAATAATACTAATATGATAAACTGCTGCAAGGATTGCACACCGCTTTATCGATTTTATCAATTTTCACTGAGGCGCGCACATGCGCAGGTTCTATCTCTCAATGCATGGCATAATTCAGTTTGGCTTTTCTTTTTACGTCCAACATGCATGTAGGTGATATTTAGATTATGCTACCGCAGATATATTGCCCAACAATAAAGGTTTATTTTGAAAAATAATTTTCTCTTTTGTTGTCGAACAAAAAGATTTCAGCGCAGTTTGTAAAGTAGCGCGCCTCCTTTGTTGGTTCTTTTTGTCACGATACTGTCAGGTACAAGCAAAATCCGTTCGGTTGTGCATTCGTGAGTCGCGGGCCGTGAAATAATAACAATAACACCCTTGTTGAATGCGCCGTACGGTAGTTTTTCGAGTGCGCGCATTTTAATAATAAATATCTCGTTTGCCCATTCAATTGAGTTGCGCTTTTGTTGTGAGACTTAGATTGTATCATTGTGTGCCAAGGTAAGGATCGTAGCTTTTTCACTTTGTCAGTATGTCTATCCATTTAGTTGGGAAATAGTTGAATTGGTATAACAAAAACACACTCAGAATTCCTTGATTTGAGTGTTGTTGAAAAGTAAATTAGCGGTAAATTTAGTTGCTTTTAAAAAAAATCCAATATAGCTCCAATTGGAAGTATAGCTGTATTCAATGCTATCATAATTTTGATTTATTATCGGAAGAATTTCGCTTTGAAAATACAAAACTTTATAACTACATTCAGAGCTATCAATCGTAGGGTTTTAGTAATGTTCTTTTGTATATACGAGCACAAAAAGGATTTATGGTTTTTGATATTTTGCTGGAAAAAAGGACGGGAGAACTTTCATGCGAATGTTTATCAATATTTTTTATCTTCATGTAGATGGACATCAAACTATTCACGGCGTGTTTATTGGTCGTAGTCTCCTACGCTGCTGCAAAAAGTACACATCGTAAGTACTCTAACTATAATAATTTCATAGCCCTTCATTCTAGAAATTCATCTCATATCTTTCCATAAAGAGCTTGCACCTAAATATCGAATACCGCGGCCTCCAACAATAAGATAAATTCGAAAGTAGCGTAAATCGATCATTCCTAATCTTTGAGCGCAAATTTGCCAAAATAATTTTGTCCGAATATCAAAAATATTCAAATTATTATAATGGGTACGACAATAGGTCCATGTATATAACTATAAAAACTTCTTTGGAGTCTATATATAAGTCATCGGTTAACACAATGCGCCTATACCCCAGGTCTATGAATAATCGTTGCTACATGTCTTGAAAAGTTTAGACTTTTCAGCCAAATTATAGCCCGTCCACAAAATCAAAAGCTAGGTCTATATTACACAGATATATAATAGGTTTGGTTTTTTTGCATCTATATGGAAAAATTATATATCACATGAAGTGATTACGGTGCTCACAAAATCAGCTACTTGTAAGCGAGTAGTGGATAAGACTATATGTAATTAATTATGTACAACTTAAAATACCAGTAAGCAAACAAAGGCACAGTCCACAACTTGTGAACGTCGCTTCCGAATTTATTTAACAAACAACAGATTTGAAGATGGATCATCCTCTGCACGAACTTTGAATAAAATGCAGTTCGCCTCATATGGCTATTACTGTATTGCGAAATAATGCGAGCAAACTATAATCATGATCATGGAAATAAATTACAAATTACATTCCGACTGAAGTCGTCCACACATTCAGTCTTCCACAGAATCAAAAGCTAGGCCCGGGCACTTAGCGTAAACACAGATCAGGGTAAGGGGTCTTTTGTTTACATCTATATATATGTAATGAAGTGTGTGAAGTTATATTAAGGTAGTTAGAAAATCAGCTACCTGTAAACAAGACGGATTTATTCGGATGTGTTCGTCAGGTGTTCTAAAGTAGAAACACGATAGAGGTTGAAAGTTTGGCTGTGTGCATAGAGGTTGAAAATAAGAAAACTAATCACCAGCTTTTTCTGCGCATGTTTTAGTGTACAAAAGGGAAGCTAACCCCTGTGGCGGAGGATGCTCTGGCACTTGTGCTCCTGCCTGTTCACATACGTGTTGCCACCCAGCACCACCCCCACCTCCCCCACCACTCCCACCACCACCAGTTCTACCACCACCACCACCTGGTCCTCCAGGTCTTGACGGTCCCATGGGCCTGCCCGGGCCAATGGGGCCTGACGGTCCAAAAGGTCCACTCGGTCTCCCAGGTCCACCCGGCCCGGCAGGACCACCAGGTCAAGCAGGTGCGCCAGCAGGTCCACCCGGAAGAGACGGTCCGCCAGGTCCTCCTGGACCATCTGGACATCAAGGTCCCCCAGGTGATCCAGGTTTAATGGGTCCACTTGGACCTCCTGGTCCCCCAGGTAACCCAGCACCACCAGGACCACCACCACCTTGCCCGCCTGTCTGTGCACACACCTGTATCAGAGCTTGCCCACAACCATGTTGTCACGGCCGCTAGGCGAAAAATGGAAACGAAATAGGACCAGGACTATGAATATAACAATGTACTTGACGTTTTTGATAAAAAAAATCGGTATATTTATACACTACCAATTCAAGATTATTTATATTATAGTTAAATTTTTCTGTAGACCAAATTAGAAAGAATCTGTATTTATTAGATGTTTGATGAATATACCATCAATTTTGCTTTGAATTCTGCTCTTAGCTTTATTTTAGCTTATAATTAATAAATTTACTTCAAAGCGCAAAATATAGGATGATCCGTGAATTCTTAACCTCCCACCTCATTGATCACCTATTGATCACCTTAGCAATCTGAAAACCGATTCTGGAGATTATACATCATACAGACAATACACCCCCCCCCCTCCTTGGCAGCGCTTTACAGAATCTGTATAATTTGAAAACTAATGTCCATTAGCACACACAAAACCAGGGCAGCCTAGATATCGTTCGGTCTGGGTTCCTTGAAATCTTACTTTTTATAATGCAAATTGCGATAGTCACAAGCGTCACGATGGGGAAATATTGTAATTGTTGCATAAGGTACACGTATGTTTACGATAAAATATAAAATACATGCAATTAGACAGTGTCACCTACTATGATTAACCAGAATTCCGCGTTGGAAGTTTTATAGGGTGATTAATTAATAATTACATGCAGGCAAAACATCGCGGATTCCGCTTAGCCAAGATTGAATGAATCGTAAAAATACTTTAAGGATTTAAATCTTCAAAATATTTTAGGCCTTAGGTCAAGAAATCAAGACCATGTAAATAACTCTAGATCTTTAGGTTCTGATTCCTGATCTTTGTTTCCCGAAATTAGGCTCTTCAAGTCAATCTTCAAGGCATTTAGGTCTTAGAACAGAAAACCGAGACCGTCAACGCTTGCATAGCTCGTTAAGGAGTTATGGCCAATATATTTCAGATCCAGTTACTTAAGATTAAACATGTATTGGAATTAGTAAATTATATGTTCCCGGTTGTGTGGTAGACTGGTACTCATCCCATCAACGGCAAGTGCCTGTCAATACCTCAAAATTACTTTACGTTGCGTGGAAAAAGCACTTTAATTAGTACAGTTAAAGGGCGGGCATATTCAGTATATTTAACATGATCTACATTCAGTGTCGACGTTATTCCTCAAGGTATACCACGACCTTACGAATATTAAAACAGCAAAATTAAGTGAATCTGTAATCATCAGTGCTCGTACAATCAAATGAAAACTAACGTGCAAACTTCTAGCGATAGATCTTGATATTCATATATGACTCGTTGCTCGTCGTCATTAGAAAAAATATTAGATTACATCGCTGTACTGTTTCAGTCAAATCGCCAAAGTATAATGTGTAGCTTAACCAATGACCAATCACACTGGAATTAAACGTTCTACACTAATTGGGATTGATTTTAACAGACATTGTGCGGTGAATCGACGTTTCAACTTCTTAAAAGTAAATAACACTGTACTACTTTACTGTATGGTATGATCAGCGTGGATAGAAGTTGATAAGATGCAGTTTTATAGTAAAACTGCATGTCATGATGCTTAAATCAAATCCCGTTGCTTAATTAAATTAAACATCGATCGCGTGCATGTGACTGCGTGGACTTTGTTATACAAAGGTCATATTCGACCTCAGTATTTTGTCCGTTGAAAGAAGCGATGGGATTTGGCTACCTGGCGAAGATCAAACCTGACGAAAAGAAAATGCTAAAGATACTCATTTATGCGGAAGCTTCCAATATATTATGGTAAAATAGGAATGCTGCAATCATTTTCGTCATTAGACGGAGACCTGATGCATGAGTTCTTGTTTGACACCTCAAAATGCTTTTATACCCCACAACATGCGGATTAATGGAAGTGCAACTAATATACGTAAACGTTTCTCTTCCATAGCGTTAACTTTCACCGCCTCATTAGTTTTGGCGTGGTTTTGCTTAATGGTCGTAAAATTACATTAAGGATCCGGATCCCTCTGTTATCTGGACTAGCAGTATATTTAGTAACAACATAAGCAGTATATTTAGTAACAATATAACGTATACTGTGTATGAAAAAGAAAGAATTACATATGAAACAAAGTATAAAAAAGTGTTAAAAACGATTAGGCTATACTTGATGCCAACTGACTTCATTATCTTGCATGCAGGTTCCTCGTGGACAAAATCATCATACTTGTTTGCCAATTAATCAAAATAGGGCTAACGTGGAAAAGAAGGATTGGTGATCGTGTAGAAATAGAAACGGTGATAGTGTTAAGCATGTCGCAGCGTTAAAAAATATTTCCAAAATTAGGACGATGTGCGCGAAATTGAAGAAAAAATTGAAGGGACAGAATTACGATGTTGCTTGCTATCTCTCCTTGACATCTCAGAGCGGGTTGCACCTTTGATCGGCGTTAATGGTTAGAAACGCTTGAGGTGTTTCGAGTATGACCTTACCGATTGATATCGAAGCAGTTTTAAAAGGGTAGTTTCAAAAGAGACGGAAACCTATTTTGCCCACTCCAGAGAGAAGAAAGGAAGTACAGAAATCTATCTTGCTACACGTAAGTGCTGAAAATATATGTAATTTTTTTCATAAATTATATTTGTGAAATACCGTAAATTGTCGTGGCATGATTTCCCTTAGGAATACAACCAAACAAGAAAGACTAAAGGCAAATTATTTGATGCTGTCATATTACATTCGCGATTCAGCATACATAAAAAGTTGGAATGAGAATTTTTTATGCTCACTATATAGAGAAATACCGTAATTTCCGAATTTGGAAACAGAATTTTTTGCATGTTAAGGGCACATTACATAACCCCAGAACGGGTTTCAGATGACGTGATTATATATCTTCCTAAAATAATATTCTTTAAGCAAAATTATAAGCAGTTAAAATTACTCACTTAGAAAACCTTAATGAAATTTAACGTATACTGAAACAGGAGATGAAAGCTCCCAAGCGTGAACTTTGTTTGTATAACTAGATTTACAGCAAAACTCGCAAAATATCGGTGATCGAAGCGTTTTTGATCAATGTGACGGGCACCACCCGTTTTCGACTCACCACACAGAATCAATCAGGAAAGCTTTCATGAGGTTCAACAGTTTAGCAATACTACAAAATTCCTAGCAAACCTGATTATCAACTTCCAACTTCAATCATTCCTTTCACAGCTTGATAAATGGTTTCATGTATAAGATATTTTTGAAGTTAACTCAACTCGCGATATGTTTCGCTGCATGGCCTATTGCATACTTTTTCAAAAAAGATCAGATAAATGGAACTGTACCTGCATGATTCATTGTAGTTAGCTAGTATTAATGAGGCCTTTCACGCACCAACAAGTTTGGGTGTCGCCGACTTTTGCGATTACCAGTTAAATGAAAGAAAAATTAAATTACTTCCTAAATTGTTAAAGTTACTTATGAGAAGGGCAGCGATTCTTTACGTTGCTGTCTGGTCAAATTATAGCATCAGAAGTGTCGGCTCACTACAGAAATATAAATCCGAAACATCTCCTGTTTGTAAATTGAGTTAACTTGGGATGCCGTACACATGGAAACATATTATTTGTTTATATTTACAGAAACCGTACAAAATGGATTTGAGAGTTCTAGTCTCAACGTTGCTACTCATAGTGGCTTTTACTGACGCAAAACCGAATAAGTCAGGTAAACATCCTGCGGCTATAATATTAGCAAACGACTTTATATATATAGCTGTGCTTCAACATGAAAGCAGGGCTAGAGAGAGAGATGAAGTACACTTTGTAGTTTTGATTGGTCGAAAACTGAGAAAGAATTACAATGCCACGATGTTAGCAAAAAATACGAATTGCATTCATTATGTTATCAGCCGAACAGAATCATATGTTGGGAGGAGTGTATAAAAACCTTAGATCCCTTAGTTTCCATATTGCGACCTATAATCCTATAGACTAATATATAATTTATTAGGCGCATGCAGATCATTATTCGAATGAAATTAGGTATTGGAAACTCATATTCATTGCTTGGAGAACGCATGTCTTTTGGATAAAAAACAAACATACTAAACCTTCAGTATTCTTACTTTGACTTCAGCAATATTTTCACAAATCAAAACAGCAGGTCGTGTTATACCCCTAAGATCATGTTCAAGATAAAGCGTTCGCAGTAGAAGCAGACGCAAGAACATCGCGGAAGGAATCGAATTTGTTTAATAACATTTCCAATCTGAGTAAAAGTATGAAGCAACTTTTTAGTAAGAAATCTGACAAGATGCCATTAATTTAAATCTCTGCCTTTATAGCTTTGAAAAGAACTATAGGCACCTGCCAAAGCGCCTGTCCACAAATATGTGCACCAGCCTGCACACCCGTTTGTTGTGCCCGGCCTGCACCTCCAGCTCCACCTGGTCCCCCTGGCCTCGATGGTCCTATGGGTCTTCCTGGTGCTCCAGGACCAGATGGTCCCAAAGGCCCACTTGGAATGCCAGGACCACCAGGTCCGCCAGGTCCTGCAGGACCGCCCGGTGCACCAGCAGGGCCACCAGGAAACGATGGTCCACCTGGGCCAATGGGTTCTCCTGGTAATCAAGGTCCCCCAGGTGATCCAGGTCCACAAGGTCCAATGGGCCTACCAGGTCCACAAGGTCCCCCAGGACTGGCTTCACCATGCGCCCCGGTATGTGCGAGGACATGCGTCAGGTCATGTCCTGCGACATGTTGCCACGGAATGAAATAATCATATGGATAAGAACGGTTATATAGTGTTGAATTTATCAAAGCATTTGACACGGCAATTACATTCATGTCATGTGTAACTATTTCGTTATAATTCGCTATCTTGTAGTACTGTAATAATAATAAATTGTGTTCTATAATACACTTGTAATAGACAATGCTTTTATATGATATATAGTTCTGAATTTAGGATGGCAAATGCAGAGCCCAAAGTACACTTTTTGGAATCCTGATTTATGAGCTTCCTATTTTTTTTTTCTTATATGGGCTGAGATTATTTGCCTTCAAAGGACGCTATTTCAATAATTTTGTTTTTATCTTCCTCTCAGCAAAATATACATCTCCACTTTTCGGCTTTGAAACACGCCGAAGTAGCTACATATTAAAATTATGTTCAACAAATTAAAAATTCTAATATCTTTACAAGACTTCCGTTAACTTTCAGGCTTTCGGTAGTTTCCTTTAATCTGAATGCGGTTGTTGTCTACAAAAAACACCGCAATACAAAACGACCGTAAACGTAGAGGTTTCAATTAGATGCACGTTTCCAATATAATAAGTGAAAGGTTTTTCGATAGTTTGGCAAACGCAAGAAATATATTAAAGGATTATTTGCACAATTTAACATGAATAGCATTGAGAGGAAAGAATTCAATACATCCAAAGGCAAGGGCAAGTCTAGCGTTCCGTCAAGGCGCATTCCGCGTTGTGATAAAATAACATGTATCAGGATTGAGATTGGTACAATGCCTATGAATGTAAAGAATGCTACCAAAAATATCGTCCCCATAAAGCGTCTTTCTTTCAAAAGACGAATCTGTTGCGAACGGTTAAGGCCACTTTCATTTCGTAAGGCCATTCTCCTTGATTGTTTTCTTAGAGAGATGAATGTTATCACATACAGAATACTCGTGACCAGGATAATAGCGACTGTGAGATATAAGTGGACTAAGAAATTGTAGACATTCCGAGTTTCAGAAGAAACATATTTTCTGATAGAGTAGATAGAAGAAGATACCCATATGAATGTTAACAATATAATAATTTTCCTGCCCCTCATCATGTAATGATGTTTAAAAGGGTAGGTGACCATCAAGCACCGATCTGCTGCGATCGAAATAATTGTCATCAAGGAAACAGATAATTGTATTTCCATTGTCATCAGAATTGTCCAATGCGCGATCCAATACTTATATGGTTCAAATAGGGATATCAGTAGGTCGGAAACAGCTAGGTTGGCGACGAGATACGTCGCAGAATTCTTGAAGCACTTCAGTGGATCTTTGATAAATGCGATCAAAAGTAGTACATGAGAAACGACTCCATATAGGCCAATGATGTACATAGGCATATCTCTGTATCGAAAATGCATATATATTATTGCAGAAGACGAATTCATTTCTTGCGAACGACGAAAGTTATAGCAACCTGATGAAATGCATTTTTAATCAAACCTTACCGCCCTTGGCAATATTTTCGTGTGTCTTCCTATACTTAATTAATTTTTTTTCATATATAGCGGAAAAGTAAACAAACAAACTTTATTAATGATCGTTTTTATTAATAATATATGTATGTATAAATTAAATAATAAATGAATATATATGATATTGCAGAAGACGAATTCAATTCTTGCGAACAACGAAAGTTATAGCAACCTGACTAAATGCATCTAAGGCTATAGCGTCCTATCAATGCGCATTCTTTGTATTTTAAGAATATATGCATCAGAATTACGTTTGGTGCAATGCATATGAATGTAATAAATGCAACCAAAACTATTCTCCTCAAAACCCGTTGTAAATTGATGGATAACGATGCCAAATTTTAGTCATTTTAGCACAAAATTTCTAACGATGTTCGTCATAGCTATAGCCTATATGCCATATGGATTAAGATGTAATTAAAGGCGGCATGTACTTATAAATTTTTTAATCAAGCTATACTATTCTAGCGCGTATTCTGTTAATCAGGATTTTTTTAATGATAGCAATCTGTAATCTTGCGGTATCTTGCTTTTAGGCAGCGTTTATTTGTCGTCGGCTTTTTCGCCAGCAATGAGTAAATTCTCGTGTAGGCAGCGAAATGGCTTCCATATAAGATGAATAATTAAAAAAAATAACAATGAAAGGGCACAGCTGTGCCTTAATTCGAGCTTGGTCCGTGTTCTGCCTGATCACACTCAGTCGCCGATTTTTGGCTCTGCTGTTGCAAACATTGCGGTCACGCTATTTTGTTTTTCTATTTTGAGTGTACCTCACCTCGCAAAGGTATATACCTAATATGGTCTTAAACTGGATCATCTATAAAGCATACCACGATGAATCTTTTTCGAATATTATCCGCTAGCCCTCGTGTGGAATTTGCTAGACTAGGGTCTAGTTTGCGTTTGAAAACAATACAATACAATATACAATGGCAATGCAGGGTACAATGCAATACAAAAACGTTATGCTTGAGTGATGGCTTTTAGTTTTTAAAGTACAGAATCTTAGCACTTAATATCAAAGTATCAAAATATGAACTAATGAACTAATGAATGAACTAATATATTAAATTTTAAACAAGATGTAAAGATTCGTATAGTCACAAAAATTCGTATCAACATTTTTACAGGAGTGCAACATTTGTTCCACTTTAAATATAAAATATAATCCTTCCTTTTTTTGAATGCTATCAAAAAACAAAATTAAAAAAAAAATTACATATACCAAAATTGCAATTTTATATGCAAAAATAGATTTAGGCTGATAGCATATACTACAGCAAAGACGACGTGAGGCGATCGAGCCATCTGAGAATTGCTATTCTTTCTGCGTGAAGAACGTCGTAGTGTAGGAACGGAACGGTTTACCCAGCTATTGCTTGCAGATTTCGCCGTCGACGGGATACATTTGTTCTAATAATGTCAACTCATCTACACTATCCTCATCGCTTGTTAAGAAAGGCGCATAGCCGTCGAATGAGAGCTCGTCATATTCCTGTCGTTCTTCAGGAGTAACATCGTCTCCATCGTACATAAACGATGCGAACCTGAAAATGAAGCGCTAGAACTAGAGGCATATACTGGAGACGAATATATTTAGCGCAGCGAAATCGATATAGTATATAAGCTGTAAAAAATAAATTGCACTGTTTGGAAACTTAAAGTCCAATTCAGGTCCACACACAATGTGTATGAGAGCAAATATACCACGTGGTGCAATAAAATTGACCTTTATAATATTTATGGTGCAAATTATACAGGCTATAGCTCCTGTGTGGGAAATGAATAAAAAAATCCCGTAAATATATAAGCTGTCACAACAGGAATCGTATGTGCAGGAGGCCATGGGGATAATCTATGAGGCGTATAATGGTCTATATATAATTAATTCAAGGTTTTATATCATGACAGTAAATACTAGAATTGTCCTAGGGTAAAAAAACTGATTTATCGTGAATACCTTTTCGGATTTTTTAATCTGGAAACAGTCTTCCATGTATTGCATTCAGGACTCTCACAATACTCTCTTAACGCCTTTAAGGCTATAGCAGTCTCTTCGATTCCTTCTTTTTCGTATTCTTCCATAGTAATTAACCGTGGCCTTCGAAAATATGCTTGAAGGCGATATGGAACCCTGAAATGGAAATTTACATGGATTGTGAAATAGGTGCGTTTTTCTCAGAAAGAATGACCTAAAACGAATACTATATCATACTGTGATTTTGAACCTACCAGCCTCTAGTTAGAACATAATGACGAGCACCTAGAAATGAAATCCATCTCGTGGTGATCAGTATTAAAACGAAAGTCAAAGAAATTTCCTCGCATCGTATGCTGTAGTAAACAATGAACAAAGCCACGGATTGCAAAGACCACTTCATGATGTCCAAGCCACGGGCGCTCTCAATTGGACCACGATAGTAACAATAGAGAAAACTAACTAGAGCTATGTTAAAAAAAAGGTATGAAAGTTAATATTTCATAAATGGGCATATATAGCTCAGTTTTAGAATCCGAACATGCAATCATATAAAATTGTTTGTATGAAGACAGCAGTCATGCAATTGATGTTTACTTTTTCAAAAGTATAGATTCATGCAAGCCTTGAGGGTTGCAATCTGTAAAAACATAGCATTTTTTTCATTAGGTCGAGGTGATATAAACACGCAAGATTTTTCACTATTCCGGCTCAGGGAAATTTCCATTTGGATAAGCCAAATCTCGTAGCCAGAGATCAACGACAACTAATTTGCACACGCTTATCTGCATAGCATAAATAGAGGTTGTACTCAAAGATTTGTTGCCTGGGACAAATGAAATCGAAGAAGTGACAACTTCGAGTCCTGAGAAGTCAGGATAATCATAGGCAGGCATTAACTTGGTGATTATAGGTGATAACCTCCAGAATAGTCTCTTGTAACTGAACAAATTTAACAGAAGGAGGGTTTCCGTATGTAAAGGCATTTTTATTGTCAAATGGCTATGGTTCTTGTAGGATTTATTTTTGCGTTCCTGGTTTGTCAAACATGATGAAGTAAACTCTAAGCTCAAAGCATGTTATACAACTGTGTAGACCTAACAAAATCGCGCAAATGTCTTCTGTATCTTTACCTGCTGATATAAAATAAGCATAAAATATCTTCATGTCTGCAAATTTTCCACTAATGATAAGTTCCGTTACGAAACGAAAGAAATATAGAACGATGCTGGAACCACAAAACATGAAAACATAACCAATGCCTCTCTGGCAAAAAAAATTTGAGGAATACATTTAAGAACTACAGTAATCAGTATGTATACTTAAATCACGAGGAAAAATTTAATAATGCAAAAATTTAGCATCAAAAGCACATGGGGCACCCCCAGTGCCTGAGTAATATCTGTTGTATACCCATAAATAGGGAACGAACTATACGTAGGCCATGTTAATCCCACTCATACTTTAGCAAACCTGTGGCATAAACTTTGAAATGACAAACAAAAGAAGGAAAACGGCCATAATCATTCCCATTGACACGCCAGCCGTGTAATAAAACAAAACGCTCCTACAAAAATACGTGAGAAATAGTGTATGTATTATCTATTTGCCATACTATAAGCTACGAGATGAAGAGATGAAAATTAATGATAATTCTGTAGTTCTTCGAACGTGCAACATTTTACTAAACACGGATTGAAAAATATTTTTATATCAGCGGTATAAATCCTAACTTCCGCCAAGTTAGACGAGGTGCATAGAGAATATTAAAACTTTCCCAGACTATTTAAAAACCGACGCGAGCAAAGTGTAAGTTCAATTGAATAAATGGCGTGCCCAGCATGCTTGGACTTCGTTTGCTTCCCGGTCTCGAATCGTCCAACTTTCGTACCTTTCGAGTATATATACGTTAGCTTCAAAGCGAAATAGCATATTTAAAAAAAATGCGTATAGTCGCATCGTATATACGCTATAATGCATGTAACATTATATTATGACTCAAACACTTTTGTTTGGACGAACATCAGACATGCGTCTTGAGAGCACGGACCAGGCAGTGGAAAAAGCATTAAACATTTTGTAACATTGCGCTAACACTCACGGTTGTCCCTATTTTACGCAACAATTTTCCGCCATTTTGTTTATTTTTGGAAAATCATTAACTGCGGTAAAAAATCATTAACTGCACTTTAGTATAATCTTCCTCTCAACCAATCAGCATCCAGTAAGGTGGTAAAATAATATTGCAAAAACTATATACCTTGCAACTAAATCAGCTTTGTGGAACAAAATTATTCCGAAAATCAACGCGACAGGATACTGGATCCTTATTTTATGAGAAGTAACTAAAAATGAAGAACGCAATCATGGATGAAAAATCTGTTCTTTGCTGGAGGGAAGAAACAACACAATTCATCCAGTAGTATGCTTGGGTCGCAAAATATAAAAAATTGCAACGTCGTTTTCTTTTAGAATGATATATACATGGTTATGCCGAATATTATGCATACCTTTGGCTTCCCAATACCCTTCTGTGGAGATTGCATAACAATTCCTACCATAGGGAGGTACTGACAGAACAACACTGCCTCCAGTTTTACCAAATGACGGCCAGTTCATGGGAAACCAAGTATTGGCTCTACTCACAAATTTTTCCCTGACTTCTTTACAACTAGAAAACACGAATTGAAAAGAGGTCAGCCTCGCACCTGAGCCCGCTTTTAGGGAACTACATTATAATTTTAAATAAATATCGTAACAAACACATAGAAATAACAGCTCCATACACAGGCGATTTTTTGGAAAACACCATGAAGGTTGTAAAGGTTGCATTCAGCTACCTTTTACAGATCGATGGGGAATGAAAGCGCGAACGTTGCAACTCAAT